AAGTGACAAATTTTGAAGCAAAGCGGGGAGGTCACAGCTTCAGGCTCCGGGATGCCTAATTCCCAATTAAGCAGGCGCAGGCAGGGACGGGGGGTCATGGTTTCGGTCGATGTTAACATCAGCCCAAGGCAGAGGAATTGATTCGAGGCGGGAAGCTCGTAATTGCGGTAACGAAGGCGAAGGGTTGGGGTGAGCAGGATTGCATCAGCCTTCGGTGCCGCTTCTCCCGGGGGGGCCTTTGCCCGCCGACATGGTCCGGGGCATCATGTGCAGCTCCAGTGGGAAAGCAATGGAAAAATTCGGGGGTTCAGGCCTTTGTCAATGAGGAAATTTGGGGTTTTCAGGCCCTCGGTGATGGGGTTTGGCATTTTCAGGTGCCCCCGGTGTCATGCAAGCAGGGATGAGCTTGCTGTCACCACCACAGGACAAGCCCAGCGTGGAGCATCCCCCAAAAGCCAGGCAGGGACGGGTGGGAAGGACCAAGACACCATTTCCCACCTCGGATGGTCCCAGAGAAGGACACAGATTTGATTTCCCCCCCCTGCCCCAGAAGGGATTTAACATCCAGGGATGCAGCAAACCCCTGCTCCCGGGACAACACATCCCCCCGGGGCTGTGGTGGGACCCCTTAGTCCCCTCTACCCACGATGGCTTGGGCAGAGAGGGGACCCCAGTCCCCAAAACAGCTCATTTCCCCCTCCCTCGCCGCGGCTGGAGTCACTGCCAAGTAGAAAACCAACACCTTGGCCTCGACCTCACGTCCTCGACCTTCGGTGACCAGCAACATCTTCTGGTTTTTAAGAGAAACGCGTGACGCTGGTGCCGGAATGCCGCCTAGGTGGGAGCCGGGGCCGATATAAACGAGTCCGCTTGCCGGGGCGAGAAACCGAAAAGCTTCCCGAATCCCGCGGCCATGCCCTGCAAGGCGCTCGCCCTCAGCTTCCTGGGGCTCCTGGCTCTCTCCTCCGCTTGCTACATCCAGAACTGCCCCATCGGGGGCAAACGCGCCGTCCTGGACATGGACATCAGGAAGGTACGTCCCGGCGGGACCTCCTAAACCCTTCTTTTCCTTCTTCCCAGGGTTCCGGCGGGGAAGACGCTGCCTGGAGAGAGGGAAAGGTTCAACCTGACCCAAGGTGCTTTCCCCAAATAATTTCTTCTTGCCCCGAGCAGTGCCTGCCCTGCGGTCCCCACAACAAAGGCCGCTGCTTCGGTCCCAACATCTGCTGCAGCGAAGAGCTGGGCTGTTACATGGGCACCTCGGAAAC